AAGAGGTTCCTGTGCCCTGTCCCTGGGACACAGCCATCACATGAACATGACTGTGAGGTGTTCACGAGTGTGAACGTGAGTGTGTGCTCACAAGTGTTAGCATGAGTGTGTGAGTGTGTGTGGGGGGCATTCCCTGACTCCTGAGTACACAGGCATTCTGCTTTGATTGACCTGAGGATTTTGGACCCACTAATGCATGGAGACCCAGCACACATGCACCTGCCACCACACGTGGACCTGCCACCACAAGTGGACCTGCTACCACACGTGGACCTGCCACCACAAGTGGACCTGCCACCACACGTGGACCTGCTACCACACGTGCACCTGCCACCACACGTGGACCTGCCACCACAGTGCACCTGCCACCACACGTGGACCTGCCACCACAGTGCACCTGCCACCACACGTGGACCTGCCACCACAGTGCACCTGCCACCACACGTGGACCTGCCACCACAGTGCACCTGCCACCACAGTGCACCTGCCACCACAGTGCACCTGCCACCACACGTGGACCTGCCACCACACGTGGACCTGCCACCACACGTGGACCTGCCACCACAGTGCACCTGCCACCACACGTGGACCTGCCACCACAGTGCACCTGCCACCACACGTGGACCTGCCACCACACGTGCACCTGCCACCACACGTGGACCTGCCACCACACGTGGACCTGCCACCACAGCGCACCTGCCACCACAGTGCACCTGCCACCACACGTGGACCTGCCACCACACGTGGACCTGCCACCACACGTGGACCTGCCACCACAGTGCACCTGCCACCACACGTGGACCTGCCACCACAGTGCACCTGCCACCACACGTGGACCTGCCACCACACGTGCACCTGCCACCACAGTGCACCCGCCACCACACGTGGACCTGCCACCACAGTGCACCTGCCACCACACGTGCACCTGCCACCACACGTGGACCTGCCACCACACGTGCACCTGCCACCACAGTGCACCTGCCACCACACGTGGACCTGCCACCACAGTGGACCTGCCACCACACGTGCACCTGCCACCACACGTGGACCTGCCACCACACGTGGACCTGCCACCACACGTGCACCTGCCACCACAGTGCACCTGCCACCACACGTGGACCTGCCACCACAGTGCACCTGCCACCACACGTGGACCTGCCACCACACGTGCACCTGCCACCACACGTGGACCTGCCACCACACGTGGACCTGCCACCACAGTGCACCTGCCACCACACGTGGACCTGCCACCACAGTGCACCTGCCACCACACGTGGACCTGCCACCACACGTGGACCTGCCACCACACCTGGACCTGCCACCACACCTGCGCACGTGCTTCTCTGAGTGCTTCATTGGCACAGGTGGCTTGTGAATCGTGACACAAAGGCCAGGATTGTCACCCTCCAGCCTCCCACGCATAGCATGGCTCTTCTCCACAGCCTGAGCACACGGGCCACCCGGCCCACATGTGTCCCGTCCGGTGGACAGCAATTTGAGCCGCTTACTGTAAATAGGGGAACGGTGATGGTGTAAGAACTCTGAGCATTGGGTTCACGCAGCCCCACAGGGTGGAGATGGGTCCCACGTGTAGGACGGGCAGGAGGTGAGGGGGTGGGAAGGTGTCTCACTGAGACGCCCCGCAGTGGAGACAGCAGCATGGCCCCCGGGATGGCAGGCTTGCTGGAAGCCACCGACGGAATGCCGGGCATGTCCACCATCAGCTGGGGTCCTCGGAGATGCCAGGCCGTGGACTGGTGGCTTCCAGGCTGCCAGGTGGTGGAAGCCTGCAGGAGAGATGTTTGATCTTTCAGCTCCGCTCCAGACTGAGGCGAACTGAGCAGCCTCCCCTGGGGCCCTGTGTCCCCTGCAGACCCACGGGGGGCGGGGGGTGCTGTCACTGTGGCGCTCCTGGGCACACTGTGCCTCGGGGCGGGCAGTGAGCACATCTTCCTGTCCAGAGGGATCTGAGGCCCGTCCACTGCAGACGCAGACCTCGAGCCCGAGAGCCATGGCTTCTGTCTGCAGACGGCTGCAGATGTGGAGCGTGGCAGAACAGAGTTCAGAGGGAGTCCTGCCTCACACCTGCCTGGTGGAAACACAAAGCTCGCGGTAATCCTAACTCCCTCTGGGCTGGTTTCCTTGACACCAAATTGTAAAATGGAGTTAATGTTTGGAGTCATTTGGGTACTGATGGTTTTTAGCTTGTGTTTCTATGCTGGCCAGCATTTTGCAAAATGACGCTTTCCCAGTGCTCCGAAGAAGACCCACCCGCAGCGGGCACTCAGCACAGAGGGTCGGGCAGATGGTGGTGGCACAGCCCAGTGCCTCCCAATGCATTTCACCAATCATCTCTATTTCCGAGAGCCCTGGCTCGCTCTCTGCCTGCTGCCCACTCCAGGAAGCCTTCCTGAATGTCCAGAGACTTCTTGGGGCCTCTCCCCCATGCTGTCCTGACTAATGCACCCCACTGAGCACTGCTGCTCTGGGCACCCAGGACTGGCACTGTGGGGAAGGTGCATCACATGTCTAGCTCCTGACCAGAGCTCGCCAATCTGGGAAGATCAGCTCCAGGGAGAATGCATGTGCTCAGCAACCAGAGGTTTGCAGCTGGCCCCAGCCAGGACCCCAGGCGGACTCCAGGCTGGGCAGAGAGCCATCAGGCCATGGGGGATGAGGAGTGGGGGGCACCGGGGGCCCAGGGCAGGGACACAGAGGCTGGGAGGGATTTCAACGCGCCCGGTAAAAGGGGTAAGCGCAAAGCCCTGGCTGTGGGATGATGGCGGTCCAGGAGATGCCACCGGCACTCACCTCTCCTCGTCCACGAGAGCGCTGTGGAGGGCTGGAGGGGGAGAGGCTGAGGGAGCCCCTGGGGCCAGGCCTGCGCCCCTCCCTTGTGGTGGGGTCCATGCTGCCACCAGCTGGGGGGGTGCTGTGAGCAGAGATGCAGGACCCAGAGCTCTGGGAGCCACAGGGCCTTGCCTGGAAGGCTCTCCTGGGGTGCAGACACCCCAGGCTGTGAGACAGAGCAGCTGCAGGCTCTGGAAAGCACTGGAAACTGCTTCTGCACTCTGAAGACTCAAACACTGCAAGGCTGTCAGAGAAAGGAGGGCGTGGCGTGCAGGTAGGGCACCAGCCCCAGGCTCCAGGTGCAGACGGGGACAGGCCCCGGGGTCCCTGGGGTGGGAGGGCCCCCGCACACGGGCGGTCATGGGCAGACCTGGCCTGAGAGGGTGCGTGTGATATCCTGGGGCTTAAAGTCGAGACTTGGGCACTCCCCATTAGATTCCACCCAAGGCTGGTGCTCTACCCCTTGAACCACAGATCCACTTCTGGCTTTTGGTAGTTAATTGGAGATAAAGTCTCATGGACTTTCTTGCCTGACCAGGCTGGCTTCGAACCTCGATGCTCAGATCTGAGATTCCCAAGTAGCTAGGAGTACAGGTGTGAGCCATTGGCACCCGGCACGGGGATGTGTTTAATATCTTGCACACTCACCCCAGCCCTCCCCTCCCCCATTCCTTCCCCCTCCTCTCCACTCCTCCCCACGCTCCCACCCCCCTCCACACCTCACCCCCTTGGGATTTCCCCTAGATCAACAAGCCATCCCACTGCGATCTTCTGCTCACAACGGCAGGGTGCAGGGGGCCCTGAGAGCCCCACCCCAGGAAGACAGAAGGGGACATCAGGCCCCCAGCCCCCTCTGAAAGCAGGAGGGACATCAGGCCCCCAGCCCCCTCTGCCTGTGGGAGGGACATCAGGCCCCCAGCCCCCTCTGCCTGTGGGAGGGACATCAGGCCCCCAGCCCCCTCTGCACTCAGGAGGGACATCAGGCCCCCAGCCCCCTCTGCCTGCAGGAGGGACATCAGGCCTCAGCCCCTCTGCACTCAGGAGGGACATCAGGCCTCAGCCCCTCTGCAGATGGGCACCGCGTGCATCCTGTGTGCAGGCCACTCTGTCTCCCAGCAGTCGCCCATTTGTTATTCATGGTAATGGTGTAGAACACAGGTAAGCTTCGCTTGTGGCTTCCGCCGTGAGCAGCCGGCTGAGTAGCCGCCCGGAGCAGCCGCCGCGCTGCCTTCGTTCTGCGACTGGAGTTTGCAATCAGCTGTTCGGGGGCAAACTGTCCCACAGGGACTGGCCCAGACCACGTACTGCTGGCTTTGGAACATGGCAGATTTGGTAGATTTGGTGGGTAGACCTCCTCAATGCCACCACTGGCTGGAGTGCCACTTTCCTCAGCTTATGCTCCCGAGAGAGCCGATGCCCCTGCCCCCTCCGCCCCCTTCCCCGCTCTGGGCGTGGGCTATACCCCGGCATCCTGTCCCGTGTCTCCCTGTGTGGACGCCGTGGAAGCCCTGCCCCTCGGCCGGCCCACCCTACCTGATCACAGGCCACCCCCATGCCCCGCCGGGGCTCTTGGGAGCACGTGGCCTGCCGGCTCTTGACAGCTCCATCCTTTGCTTTCTGTTGGTCTGTCTCCCTTGGTGACCTTGGTCCCTGCAGAAAAACCCTGGGGTTCCCTGGACTGTCCTGAACTGGAGCACCCTGCGCTTCCCGGGCACCCCGGCCCCAAAGCCTGTGAGGCCAGCAGAGCAGCCCGTGCCTCTCTGTGAAGGGCAGGGGCGACAGGGCGGGCTCTGCAGGGAAGGCAGGGAGGGGTCTGAGCTGGGACCCCAGCGCTGCCACATGAACCAGAGCGCAGGGCCTGTGCTGGGGGCTGGCAGGTGGATGGGGCGGGAGAGATCTGACCACAGGGCCCAGGATGGAGCTGGTCAGGCAGGGGTGCAGCAGGGAGGGCACCCTGCATAGGAAGTCAAGGAGAAGGGGTGGGAGCGTGGGGCTGGGCGCGTGCCAGGGCCTGGCGGCGGCTCCCCTGGCTCAGAGGCCTCTCCTCGGCAAGTCGGCACTGCAGGCAGAGCCGGGGCTTTGGCTGGGCCGAGGGCTGGCACGCCAGACACCACTCAGAGCCAGGAGCCCCTGGCGAGCACACAGGACATATGCACACGGAGCCCCTGGATGGCAGCCCGGCCCAGATGGCCTGTGGGGAGCGGTGGTGGAGTGTGGGGAGCGGTGGTGGAATGTGAGGAGCGGTGGTGGAGAGTGGGGAGCGGTGGTGGAATGTGGGGAGCGGTGGGGGTGCAATGGGGTGCAGACAGCAGCACCTCTCCTGGGCACCTTCCTCCAATCAGTGCAGACAGCAGCACCTCTCCTGGGCACCTTCCTCCAATCAGTGCAGACAGCAGTGCCTCTCCTGCACACCTTCCTCCAATCAGTGCAGACAGCAGCGCCTCTCCTGGGCGCTCTCCTCCAATCAGTGCAGACAGCAGCGCCTCTCCTGGGCGCCTTCCTCCAATCAGTGCAGACAGCAGTGCCTCTCCTGGGCACCTTCCTCCAATCAGTGCAGACAGCAGCACCTCTCCTGGGCACCTTCCTCCAATCAGTGCAGACAGCAGTGCCTCTCCTGCACACCTTCCTCCAATCAGTGCAGACAGCAGCGCCTCTCCTGGGCGCTCTCCTCCAATCAGTGCAGACAGCAGCGCCTCTCCTGGGCGCTCTCCTCCAATCAGTGCAGACAGCAGCGCCTCTCCTGGGCGCCTTCCTCCAATCAGTGCAGACAGCAGCGCCTCTCCTGGGTACCTTCCTCCAATCAGGGACAGACAGCAGCACCTCTCCTGGGCGCCTTCCTCCAATCAGTGCAGACAGCAGTGCCTCTCCTGGGCGCCTTCCTCCAATCAGTGCAGACAGCAGCGCCTCTCCTGGACGCCTTCCTCCAATCAGGACAGACAGCAGCGCCTCTCCTGGGCGCCTTCCTCCAATCAGTGCAGACAGCAGCGCCTCTCCTGGGCGCCTTCCTCCAATCAGTGCAGACAGCAGCGCCTCTCCTGGGCGCCTTCCTCCAATCAGTGCAGACAGCAGCGCCTCTCCTGGGCGCCTTCCTCCAATCAGTGCAGACAGCAGCGCCTCTCCTGGGCGCCTTCCTCCAATCAGTGCAGACAGCAGCGCCTCTCCTGGGCGCCTTCCTCCAATCAGTGCAGACAGCAGCGCCTCTCCTGGGCGCCTTCCTCCAATCAGTGCAGACAGCAGCGCCTCTCCTGGGCGCCTTCCTCCAATCAGTGCAGACAGCAGCGCCTCTCCTGGGCGCCTTCCTCCAATCAGTGCAGACAGCAGCGCCTCTCCTGGACGCCTTCCTCCAATCAGTGCAGACAGCAGCGCCTCTCCTGGGCGCCTTCCTCCAATCAGTGCAGACAGCAGCGCCTCTCCTGGGCGCCTTCCTCCAATCAGCGCAGACAGCAGCGCCTCTCCTGGGCGCCTTCCTCCAATCAGCGCTGACAGCAGCGCCTCTCCTGGGCGCCTTCCTCCAATCAGTGCAGACAGCAGCGCCTCTCCTGGGCGCCTTCCTCCAATCAGTGCAGACAGCAGCGCCTCTCCTGGGCGCCTTCCTCCAATCAGTGCAGACAGCAGCGCCTCTCCTGGGCACCTTCCTCCAATCAGTGCAGACAGCAGCACCTCTCCTGGGCGCCTTCCTCCAATCAGTGCAGACAGCAGTGCCTCTCCTGCACACCTTCCTCCAATCAGTGCAGACAGCAGCGCCTCTCCTGGACGCCTTCCTACAATCAGTGCAGACAGCAGCGCCTCTCCTGAACACCTTCCTCCAATCAGCGCAGACAGCAGCGCCTCTCCTGGGCGCTCTCCTCCAATCAGTGCAGACAGCAGCGCCTCTCCTGGACGCCTTCCTCCAATCAGTGCAGACAGCAGCGCCTCTCCTGGGCACCTTCCTACAATCAGTGCAGACAGCAGCGCCTCTCCTGGGCACCTTCCTCCAATCAGCGCAGACAGCAGCGCCTCTCCTGGGCACCTTCCTCCAATCAGCGCAGACAGCAGCGCCTCTCCTGGACACCTTCCTCCAATCAGTGCAGACAGCAGCGCCTCTCCTGCACACCTTCCTCCAATCAGTGCAGACAGCAGCGCCTCTCCTGGGCACCTTCCTCCAATCAGCGCAGACAGCAGCGCCTCTCCTGGGCGCCTTCCTCCAATCAGTGCAGACAGCAGCGCCTCTCCTGGACACCTTCCTCCAATCAGTGCAGACAGCAGCGCCTCTCCTGAACACCTTCCTCCAATCAGCGCAGACAGCAGTGCCTCTCCTGGGCGCTCTCCTCCAATCAGTGCAGACAGCAGCGCCTCTCCTGGACGCCTTCCTCCAATCAGCGCAGACAGCAGCGCCTCTCCTGGGCGCCTTCCTCCAATCAGTGCAGACAGCAGCGCCTCTCCTGGACGCCTTCCTCCAATCAGTGCAGACAGCAGCGCCTTGTGGGGTCCCCCGCCTCCTTTCCACCTCACCCCTGTCCATTTGTCTGTGGCTATTGAAAAGAATCCGAGCTTGTGTTCCAGCTCCTGAATCAAACCACGTTTGCAATTTGTCAAATTATGCAGAGGAGACAGTGGAGAGGAAAGGGAAGCAGTTTGATTCTATTATGTGAAAATTAGCTTGAAACAGAGGCTGTTCGCCTGTTAGAGCAATTTCTCTCCATTTGTTTCTGGAGAAAATTGCCTGTGAGCCTGTTGGTCTGCCCCTGGCTGGCTGTTGCAGGCCGGGGGCGGCCGGAGCTCGGGCTCTGCATGGCCCCTGTGGGCCGGAGCCTCCTTCCTGGCTGGCAGGTGGTCCCCGGGCAGGGGTGAGAGGTCAGGAGGTGGCTACAGAAGCACTCCGGCAGGAGAGGGGGAGTGAGGAGGCCGGGGCGGGAGGCTGCGTGGCCAGGAAGGAGATCGCTCACAGGGAGGAGGCCCAGCTACAGGCACCAGCACAAAAGGTCAGACATCCACAGGCAAGCACGGGGCGTGGAGGTCTGCCTCCTTCCCACGGGGCTCAGGCGGTGTGGGTTTTGCGCAGCGTGTGGGCTATCTCTGGGAGGCTGGCAGGAGATGCTTGCGGTGGGAGTGCCCTTCCCTAGCGCTCCTACAGCGGGTGTGGTGTGTGCTCCCAGCCCTGGGGCCCGCGCTGTGGCAGGCAAGAACCGAGAACCCGGGGTTGGGAAGTGTGCAGGCTCTGCACCTCACTGTGTTTCCCAAGCAAGTCCTGCCCCGCGCGGAGCGGTCACACAGAGGGTCAGCAGGAGACGTCCAACCTTGGGCCTCCACAGCCCCGTCACATTCGGGCACATCTGGGGACGCTGACCAGTGAAACACTGGTCTGAAATGTCTCTGAGGACCAGCGTTTGCGTTTGGTACACACCTGCAGGGTCCTGCGGAAGGGGGGCTGTGCCTGGGGGGCTGGTGACCCCCATGGGCCCACATCCACCCCCGTCCGGCATGACGTCCCAGCAGGTGCAGACGGCCCCCCCGAGGTTCTTGTTTTTATTTCCTGGTGCTAATGACATCATGTGTGGTTTACCAGCCATCGTATCGTCCAAAGCCTTTTTATGATCACTTTGTGAGAATGCTTTATAGGCTAGGGATAGGTATGCCATGTGTGAGTGTGGACAAGCATGCGTGTATGTGTATGTGTACATGCATACGGGTGTTTGTGGCATGCATGCATGCATGCATCTCTCTAGATCTGTAGGATGCCTTTTTACAAGTGTGTCTTGTCTGGAATTTGCGACGCTGCTGCCAGCTCATTCGTCATGTTCATCTTTACTGGACGGTGGGTCCCTGTAAATCTTGCTTGTTCTGGACAATGGAGCGTCTGTCTTTTATATACGGAGTCATTTACAAATGGCATGGAGCAGGGCTGAGGACTCTATTTCCCAACCCTCGTCCGGTTTTCCTAATAGCCTTTGTTGAAAAGATGTTCCTTTCCTCACTGCATTGCCTTGGGGACAGGGCAGCACAGGCAGTGCCCCGGGGCCAGGTTCCAAGCCCCCGCTCTGTGCAGTGCTGGGGGTCAAGTCCAGCCCCTGGCCTGTGCCCGGACGTCCTCACTGGACTCCGCAGGACAGCCCTGCTCTTCGTTCCAAGACTTTGCGCTTTCCAGGCCTCTTGTACCTGGCTAGGATCTGGACAGGAGGTGTCCTGTCCTGTGTGTCTGTATAGTGGACAGGAGGTGTCCTGTCCTGTGTGTCTGTGTGGACAGGAGGTGTCCGGCCCTGTGCTCAGGCAGGCCTCCAGCTGGTGGTGCTGTAGAGCGGGATTGCTGTGTGCACCTTGGCCCTGGGGGAGGTGGGCTTGCAGGTGCCTTTGAAGTCTGTTCCTGCTCCCAGACTGTTTCTGTCTGTGTCTCTGCTCTCTGGTTGCTGTGGTGAGTGGATGCCCTTCCCCCGTGAGGTTTCTGTCCTGCCCAGCCTGAAGCAACGGAATCAGCTGGCCATGGTAGGAACCACGGGCCAAGGTGATGCCCTCCTGCCCCAAGTTGCTTTTCTCAGGCATTTTGACCCACATGTCTTCCAAACACATCAACACAGTGACCTGACCATCCTTGTGCAAGCCCTGGGGGCGTTTGGTGGAGATACAGGGGCTCCCCTCAGTGGAGGGTGACATCCCCACAGCCATCCCCCCCCACCCCCCGCCGTCCTCCACCCGTCCCAGGCCTGGAGGTGTGTCTCCTCTTGAGCTGTGTAATTCCTCTCCACAGCATTTCTGCTACAGGAGCTGGCAGACGGTAGCACTGTGGGCAGAGCTGTACCCGGGGCCCGAGGGCTGACCGTCCACGTCCCGGGACCCGTGCAGGCTCTGGCAGCAGAGATGGCTGTTCAGCATCTGCATGGGCGGCTTCTGAGGCCCACAGCAGCACCCCTCCCTCTCTCAGCCCACCCAGTGGAACATTCCAGCACTGGTACTCAGTGGAGCAGAAGGGAGGAACCAAGAGCCGGAATGCCCTGGATGGCTGGGCCCCGCCCCGGCCCCGGCCCAGGTTCCTGCGCTCCTGGTTTGGTTCCATGTTGACAAAGCCGGCCTGAGAAGTCGAGAAGGACCTGTGCTCATCTGTTGTTATGGTTACGGGGAGGGTAACAATTTCCTGAGTGTTATCTCCCGTCCGATCGGCTCAGTGGGGACAGCTCTGGGTTCCACCAGGACCCAGCCACATTCATCCTGACACTGTGGGCCGGCTCCATCGAGGAGATAAAGCGGATCTCATTAGACCATCAGAGGATCATTTTGCTGATTTTATTGCAGTGGTAAAATTGCCTCTACCTTATTCTCTCCAGACTGCCGGGGGACAGACCTCTCACGGCCGAGAGGATGGCGGGCTGGCGTGCACCACGCGCTGGTCGGGAGCCTCGGGGCCGGCACCCCAGGGCGTCCCCTTGCTGTGAGGACAGGGCCACTCAGCCGGAGCCCTGGGCCCGGGGTGAGGGGACACGCCCCCTGCAGTGACCCCGGCTATCGAGTCTCAGGGCGGTCATCGAGTGTCTATCTCAACTACCAAGGCCAACGGGTCACCGAGGCCAGGCCTCAGAGCGCGGGGGGCGGGGGGTCAGCGCCGGGGGGGGGGGGGGGGGGGGGGGGGGGAGGGGAGCTGCCGTGAAATGGTCCACCCCAGGCCCCTGCTCACATCGTGTAAGTGACGTTTCACAGGGGCACAGCCACCGCCGTGCGTGTACGTGTGCGTGCGTGTGTGCACGTGTGTGTGTGTGTGCGTGTGTGTGTGCGCGTGTGTGCACGTGTGTGTGTGCGCGCGTGTGTGCGCGCGCGTGTGTGTGCGTGTGTGCACGTGTGTGTGCGTGCGTGTGTGCGCGCGTGTGTGCGTGCGTGTGTGTGTGCGTGCGTGTGTGTGTGTGTGTGCGCGTGTGTGTGCGTGTGTGTGTGCGTGTATGTGCGTGCATGTGTGCGTGTGTGTGTGCGTGCGTGTGTGCATGTGCGTGCGTGCGTGCGTGTGCGTGCGCGTGTGTGTGCGTGTGTGCGTGCATGTGTGTGTGCGTGTGTGTGTGCGTGTGTGTGCGTGTGTGTGCGTGCGTGTGTGTGCGCGCGTGTGTGCGTGTGTGTGTGCGCGCGTGTGTGCGTGTGTGTGCGTGCGCGTGTGTGTGCGCGTGTGTGTGTGCGTGCGTGCGTGCATGTGCGTGCGCGCGTGTGTGTGTGCATGTGTGTGTGTGTGCGTGTGTGTGCGCGTGCGTGTGCGTGTATGTGCGTGTGTGTATATGCGTGCGTGCGTGTGTGCGTGTGTGCGTGTATGTGCGTGCATGTGTGCGTGTGTGTGCGCGTGCGTGCGTGCATGTGCGTGCGTGTGCGTGCGTGTGCGTGCGCGTGTGTGTGTGCGTGCGTGCGTGCATGTGCATGTGTGTGTGCGCGCGTGTGTGCGTGTGCGTGTGTGTGTGTGTGTGTGTGTGTGTTATTCTCCTTGGCGATGACATCAGAGCTGAGTAGTTTTTAGCAAAACTCAGGCGGCCCCCAGAGGCTGCCGTGTTGGCTGCCGTCCCTTTACAGGAAAAGCCTGCCGACTCCTGCTTTCATGTGTTTACCACGCCAGCCTGCGATGCCTTGTTATCAAAGATAACGTACACGTCAGATTTGGATCAGAGCAGGAACTCGCACAAGTGGAAATCACAGCCTTGGCCTCGGTGGAAATGCTCCGGGCTGGCCCTGAGGCCAGCTCCGTGCCCCCCCGGCCCCGGGCTCCCACACACCACGCCCGTGTCCTGCTGGATGTGGGGGGCTCTCTCCTTCCCACCAGGACATGAGTGCCCCATGGCCAGCGGTGTCCACCTCGTCCTCTGCCGTGGTCAGCACAGGCCCCGCTTGGGGTGTGGATGCGGGGTGGGGCCTGCACGCGTCCCGGCTCCCGTCCCCGCCCGGCGTGGGAAGCAGAACTTGCCCTCTCTGTTCCACAGAGCCCGTTCCTTCCCCTGCTCTTCCCCTCCCCTCTTTAGTCAGTTTTTTAGCTGACATCTATAATTTGGAAAGCCATAAAAATGAATATAGATGAAATATTAGAGGGCGGCTGTACGAAGAACGCAGGAACAAAGAGGCTCGGGCTGCTCAAACCCGGCCCTAAAAACGGCTCTCCTCCTCGCTCGCCGCGACCCAGTGAAATTGATTCATGGACCAAATTGGCCATTTAAAATTCAAAAGCCTCGGCTTCCCGCGCACAGCTTCCCCTTCTCCAGATTTATGGGGCCGGAGAGAGGCGCCGGTGTCTGCTTTCTTTTTTAAGGATGATGTACAGTGGGGCGGCAGGCCCTTTCCGGGGGCCTGGCCCCCGGCGCTGCAGCCGGGAGGCCTGCCCGTCTCCAGGGATGGCCTCCCTGCGTTCCTGCCCCTCAGCCGAGGGTCTGCCCCCTGCAGGCTCAAGGACTGCAGGGGTGGCGGCTGGGGGGATCAGGGAGGGGGCAGATCCACAGCACGCAGGGCCTCGGGGGGCCGGCTCCTCTTCCCAGCCCACTTAGCTCCCTGGGCAGACATGGGGCCATGTGGGGAGACAGGTCGTGGGCCGGCATGAGCTTCCTGCTGACAGAACTGCCACCA